CACCAACGTGCAATAATCAACATCACTGAACTGTAAGCGGCAGTACCGTTCATGTGCTGTCATTCCTGAAGATTAAAGTATACTTAACAAATGTGTAAGTAGGTAAATATCTAACCATTTCACTATCATATTCCATCACTAACTATATCCCATGACTTTATTTACATGATCAATATATAACTAGATCAATGATCATTATAACTAGAGTCTCCGATTGGGGACGACAAAACTTAGTTAACCCCGCTTTTTTCACCGCTAAGAAAACCCCATTTGCTGTGGCTCCACAGTTCCAAGGCACGTCTCTTAACATCTCTAAAAGCATTGGGATCCTTGGTGTCGACATCTCTAGTGATGTACAATTCCGTTCTCGAAAATATAGAAAAACATGTGCTCAACGTGCATCATAATGTGCAAATCAAATCCGGCCCCACATGAACTGCTTGAATCTTTCGACTCGTTGCAACGACGAGCTATGAGAATTGTCGATGATCCCAGGCTCTCAAGCGGTATCGAACCCTTGAGTCTTAGGAGAGATTTTGCTTTACTCTGCGTATTCTACCGCTTGTACAATGGATCGTGCTCAGAGGAATTGTTCAATATGATCTAATCGACCATCCTCATGTCCTATCATTGGTCGCGTACTGCGCGGTTCCACGAACACTCAATGGAATGAGCTAAAGAGACTACAGCATGTATATAACTATTACAGATGTTCATAGGCTTTATTGGGCCGTACTTGAATCAAAATATCAAGTATTCTGTGTGTTAAATTAGAATATAATCTACCAATATACCAAGTTTAATTCAAATACATTAAGTAGTTGTTCCGTGAAAGAGTAACAAACATCCATAGACGAGTGAGACAAAGATGCCCATGTATACTATATAGACTCTTCATAGACATTATATAGACTTCCATATTAAAATTATAAAACTACCTACATTTTTACAACCAGATAATTGACTTTTAGCTGTTGGATATTTGTAATATTGTTACATATATTTGTTATAGGATTTACCAGCCGTGGTGCGACGGGTTGCAAATTTCCTCAATAAGCCGGCAACTGAAGAGCAGGTGTCACGGCTCTGTAATCACCTATCTATAGAGAACTTCAGAAAAAACAAGGCTATCAACCGTGAAGATATGAAAGCATTGGGATTTGGCGATCTTGATAAACACTTTATCCGAAAAGGTATTTTAATTGAAATTTAAGTTTTAACTTAATTTTATTAATTTAAACGGTGTAAATTATAACCGATTTAAAAAAAGAGGCTATGTTAACATCGCACCTCCTTTTTAAAGCTCCGTAGAATAAAAAATCTACAGTATGGTAATATGCTTTTCTGTCTTTAATCTACGCTTTGTAAATTTCATAAATTAGGAATAATTCCTGTGGCGTTCTCTTTATACGGTTAATTTTATTCTATCACATGAGAAGTTAACTATCCACTGTTGAACTCCACTCCCTATTAGGGGTTTTGCCATGAGTTGCCGTACTTAGTCAACGGGTTGGCAACCACAGTTAAACTTTAGTGAGGTTTAAATTTTACTAATTGATGCTGTTGTTGACATATTATTTTATTGTATAATCGAACCGTGGAAAGATCGCAGGTACTGATCTTATTAATATCCCAAGTCATAATCGATTGATAGACGAATGTGTAAAAACTTCACTATCACAAATATCTAGCTATTCTTAATCTATGTATTCTATGTATTTGTAAATTTATGTATATAATCTATGTTGCCATATCAACTATTTCAATGGGTGTTTAAATTCTAAGTGACAACTTACTCTGTGATATAATATGATATGATAAACTATACAATGATCTTAATACGTTTACAAAATATGAGTACTAGACTATTAGTGAACTTAATCTAACAACTTTAGTTGAGGGTATACGGTTGTTTAGTTATCCCGTCCTTGCTATTTGATACGGGCAATAAGATGCCAATATAAATTACCCACTTTGATTATTAGTAATGAAGACTGAGAATCTCATTGCTAGCAATATACCCAACCAGGTCGACCTCCTCGCGGTTCTCTCTGGAAACTATCATGGGTAATTCCTGATGAATTCATCATGATTGGTTAACGGACCTGTTTTCATTCTCATCTATCACCTTTCACTGGTGCTCCGCCAGCGTATCCCGTTAGCGCAGGCGGGGTTACCATACCATTTTCACCCATAAAAAAACTACCTACTTTGTTCTAGTATTCGTTATGTGATCTTTGATCTTATAGTTTAAATCGAAATGAATAATATGCTGACGCAGGCAAGGCAGGCGGATGGCGCGAGTACTTCGACGAGGAGATGACGCAGCAGGCTGAGCGCTGGATGAAGGACAACCTGGGGGGCACTGGCATACACTTTCCTGAAATTAACTAATGATTTACTATTCATGAGACAAAAACCTTTACTCAAGTAATATTGTACAAGTAATTATAAAAATAATAAGTGCAGAGTAGCTTATGTATATAGGTGGTATACTACATACAATTTAACAGTGAACAACTCGGTAATGGGTGTTTTAGACCGAGAATGGGATATTCTGCTAAATATATTTTTTTAAATGTGCATATATTGATGTGTTGTATTAGGAAAATCATATTCTAAGCCACATTTTGAGAAATATTGAATAAACCGTTTTTGTTATGAAAATACAATATAATATTATTATATGTTGTATTATTTACCTATCTAAATAAAACATACGTTAATCTACATGTATCTATGTAGTAAATGCTAGTTAGAAGAAAATTTATATAAACAAAATTATCCCACTATATCAAATCACATAGAAAACCCCATAAAGGCATATTTTTAATATTAACTGTAATCTTCATTTTACGCGCAATTTAATAATTGAATTGTAATAAAATACAGCAGCTATTTCTTTTTAATATATTCTATTTAATGATATTTTAACGTTATTCGAAAAATTATATTTCGGCTAGCTGACCCGGCAAACTTAGTGGTATGAAATAATCTTTACCTATTCTCATACCTACCTTATATATTATAAAAAAATGCATAAAAATCGGTCGAGCCGTTTAAGAGTGCTACAAACTTTATATTGATGAATCGCCGCATGCTTCCGGCATCACTTTATTTCCTGCGGATATCGTAAGGGGTGGATAAAGGAACTTAATAGTCGAGAGATGGGCAGCACCGTCCCTTTAAAACATCACCAAAGTATAAATGAGATTTCTAATCCGCCTGCAAAGCCTTGGCGACTACTAGCAAAACCCCTCAATGGCAATGGCCATAGTTAAAGGCCTATGTTCAGTAGCGGGCAGTTAACGGCCGATACAAAATATATATAGATTATATTATTTTGCCATGTGATCCTGATATAGAATAGGCTACCCCTTCCTTTCCCGTGCGTGTCATAAGAGGCGACTAAGGGAGAGCGAGGGATGAGGAGTAGCGTCTTTCTTAAAACATCTCCAAAGCCTAACTGCGGTTGCCAATCCGCATGCCAAGCATAACAACTACTGGCAAAATCCCCCTAGGGGGATATTTATGGTCAGCAATGGATAGTTAAAAGCTGATATGATATGATGATATTATTTTATTAAGCGTTTCATCAAACCGTTTTCGCCTAAAATTAAAAACATAGCAAATGTACTTATTCGTGTATAAATGTACTTATTGTACTTATTTATTTATTACAATTCAGTATATAAAATTTACTTTATCGCATAATTCCTCAAATATGATACATAGTTACTGTTTTTGTACGTGAATTGTATTGTTAACTGACTTCAAAAAAGCAGGAGGCACAGACGAGCGCCAAAGTCATCTGGAGACATGGTTCAACTGGAGTCCAAAAAGTGTGGAGAGCTGAGTAACATGCAGAACAGTGACTGTTATAATATTAATCATGAGTCAGACCTTATATGGAGTGATGTCATAGTCCAGGAGCTCCTTCCTGCAAATGTACACACTCCTGGACACCAGCTTAGTCCTTTTGATTTTGTCCAGAGGTGTCCTATGAGAATTATCTACTATCCTAGGTTAAAAGGCAGCATCAAGTCTCTTAATATTAATCACAAGTCCGACCTTATATGGAGTGATGTTGTAGTCCAGGAGTTCCTTCCTGCAAGTGTACACACTTTAATTTTTAACCGATTTAAAAAAAGAGGCTATGTTAACATCGCACCTCTTTTTTAAAGCTCCGTAGGAAAAAGGACTAAGCTGGTGTCACCAGCTTAGTCCTTTTGATTTTGTCCAGAGGTGTCCTATGAGAATTATCTACTATCCTAGGTTAAAAGGCGGCATCAAGTCTCTTAATTTAAAGCAAGACTTTGCTTCTTTTTGCATCTTCTACTGCTTGTATAACGAACTGTGTTTTGAAAAACTCTTTGATATGATGCCTACAGCCATCTTTCACCATCGCACCGCTCATCGTCGGCAGACAATTAAGCCTCACATCTTAGAACCAGAATGGTCACGCACAGTGCGGTTTTAGAGGAGCTTCTTCCCGCGATCACTTAGAATTGGAATCATTAATTTGGAATCATCTTGAATTAGAATCATCTTCCTGCCGAGGACTTCGTCCGCGTAGTTGGGATATATTTACTGATTGGGTTAAAAAGTAACGGGTTAAAAGATCTTTGTGTATCCCATATCATATTTATATAATTTTTAGAACTCATGTTAATTTTTTAATTATGAAAAAGGAGTTTTATACACTTACAAACAATAAGTTTATAAAATTACTGTAGGTATACCAAATTTCATTACGACTGTTAAAGCCTTTAAGACGCTACGAGGTAACAAAAAACAAACTCACTTTTATAATATGTATAAGTTTATATATCCAATTGCATGCAAAACATGATAATAACCTTTTATAATAACTACTATTCTATCTATTTACATTTCAAAACTTTCCGATTTCCTTTTGAGTCCGTGCATATAAACACTTCAGATAACTGTTATCAATTTAAATATCTTATCTATCATTGTTTCTAAACAGTCATTATAAAACTTGAAACAGTCATTATTGAGATTTAGACCAGTTAATACTAGTCGTATTAACTATAATAATATCATTAGACTACTTTATTTTATATTATATCTCTTATTTTTTTATTCTTTTTATTAAAAAAGAGCAATGGATGCCCAAAAAGATAGACCTTTTGAAATCAAAGACGTGCCACCAGAAGAATTGGTTGACATACATAAGCATGTAAAGGGTAAGTTCATTGATACAATTAATGTTTTATAAGTTTTACATTTCTGATGAGATAGTGATTAATCGCGAAAAAAAAAATATTTAAACTAAGGGAAAAAATATCTGAAGTGATAATGATATAGATTTGCTGATATCTGTAGGCAATAGCAGTACTAGTCAACTTACGGGGGGTAGGCCCTTGTCAACCTGAGCAAAATTACAATTCTCATGGCCCAGAGATTGCAGTCGCAAGCTAGGTTAAAGTAAGTAAAAAGCAAGCGTTCTAGTTTCATACACTGCAATTAAATTAAATAATTGCCATGAAACGATAGTAATTTTATATTTTTTTTTTTTTTATATTAGTATTTTGTCATATCTTGATTCTATTTTAGAGGGAGACGCAAATAACCAAATATAATTTTATAATGATGATAGCCTCAGTCATTTATTTTAATTTTTTAAAGCTACTGAACGCACTGCGCTCTTGAACTCGTAACCATAGTGCACTTAATTTTCTATAAATAATCTTAGGTAATTAAATATTAATTATATTAAATAGGTAATTTTAATTTAATACCTTTAAAATTCGCCAGTATTTTACTTCAGTATGCTGGTTATATCGATCAAAAATAAATCTGTATTGTGATTCTTCATCATCGAAAACTCCAAAACACACTTATACTAAATAATTCGAATCAAATATCTGAAACATTACTCATTTCAAGTTTTATAATATAATATAGGTACCAAAATACTGCAACAGTTTTTGTAATAATACAAACAACATTTTCTATAATAATAATGGGTTTATCATTACATAAAATGTTGTCTCTTGCAGTACTTTTCATATCTTTGTAATTTACAAGTGCAATAAATATATTAAAAAATATATGTATCATTACATAGGGCCGCAGAAACACAGTTTTAAAAACTGAAAAGACATTTTTTAAAAGAAGTCTTTACTTTTTAAAACATCCAGAACAAATTTAATAATTAGATATATTGCAAAACTTTGCCAAAATTTTTGTTGCTGTAAATCGTGAAAATCAAAGAGATATTTTGTTGGTTGCTCATGTACACACATGTTTGGTATTAAATTATATTTTGTCCATCTAAGATTTACTACTTTCTATCTACTTCATCTACTAGTTATTTTAATGGACGAAAATAGAATGGTAAACCCTCCTGCGCTATATACGATGGCGGGGCATCAGTGTGGAATGAAAAGTGAGAATGATAATGTTATTACAATGAAAACAGGCTTTTTAGGCCTATTTTCATTGTAATAAGCCTAACGGCTAATAGCTCCACGCGGAATAACGTAAACGAATTCGATAAGAATTAAATTAAATTAATTAATTAAATTATTCGGGAGAACCGCTTGGAGATCGACCTTTAAGGGTGTATTGCTATCACTAGGACTGTAGACTCCATTGCCAACAATCCATTTCCCCTCTTCATTCAGTTTGCTATTCAAAATACTTAATACCTTTAAGAAATATCAAATATTTTGATTTTAGGCCCTAAAGTTAATTCTATACGACTGGGTCAAGCCGGTTACTTCTTTCCCGAAGGATATAGAGAAGATTGCTACAAAGTGTACAATATGGAAGTCAGGCCCAGTGATATATTTGTCATCACTTTTCCAAAATCAGGTAAATAAGTTTAATGTTGTAATAAAACCAAATCAAAAATTAAGAAATCCAAATTATGATTAAAAAAGATTAATTATAATAATTTTGCGGTATTAGAAAAAAGGTATTTGTAATTTAAAACTATTGTATTGTGCAACGTTGTCACTGGGGTAAGGAAATAAAATAATATTAAACCCAGGTAAGAAACGTTAGCAAACTTGGTACAATGTAGAAGAACAAATGATAGAAAATTTAAAAACAATGAAATAAAGTCTCAATCACGGAAACAACAGAAATAATAGAATTTTTAATATATAAACCATTTCTAGATGTTACTTTATACATTAATGCATGTAGGCAAAGCCGTAGGATACAACAAGTAATTACCTAATAATAACAAAGTGCCTGTAAGTCAATATGAAGGGTTGGATATAGAAATTAAATTATTGAGTTTAAGGGCATTGCAGTCTCTATCAAGGGTACTAAAGGCGTCAAAGAGTATCCACTCATGACTGGACGTGATGCTGTTCACGTCCATAGGCGATCACCTTACATCGGATATAATGTCATTACTAGTCGTTAAAATAATACAGTAATAATTCTGAGATATGTGCCAGTATTTTAGTGAATCTTTCCAAGATTTCCTGTTTTCAACCGACTTTAAAAAAAGAGGTTTTCAATTCTGTAGTATTTTCTATGTTTATTACTACAGAACTCCATTTATAAATCAATTCGGAAAATTACTTTTCTATCTGAAAGTATTTTAGATAGATTCCATGAAAAAAATTCAAAACCGGTTCAATAGTTTAATATTCCACTCAGGGTTTGCTGGAAGAGAATTTTTACTAAGTTAAGCTCGCCTGGTTTACATCTTTATTTAAAACTAGCGGCCCGTCCCGGCGTTTTACATTTTAAAAAGTGGCCATTTAGGCTGCACACGCGACGGAAGCTTAAAAATGGAGTAACTTCTCCCGTTTTCCCAACATTTTCCTTCACTGCTCTGCTCCTATTGATCGTAGCGTGATGAAAAGTATACTATAACTTGACCAAGAGTATGAAGAATAATTGTACCAGTTTCCTTAAAATCCGTCGAGTACTTTTTGTTTCTATAACGAACATACAAACAGACAGACAGACAGACAAAAATTTTACTGATTGCATTTTTGGCATCAGTATCGATCACTAATCACCCCCTGATAGTTATTTTGGAAATATATTTTATATACAGAATTGACCTCTCTACAGATTCATTATAAGTATAATAACAATAAATAAAAGATAAATTTAGACAATGTAATTTTTTATGTACAATAAAGTATAAATAAAATGAAATATTTTTTTGTGGAACGAAATCGGATATATCCAGTAGTTACTGCTACGTTGCGGAATAATTTCAATACATTTTATTTGATTGTAACAATATTTTCTTTAACCTCTATTTAATACTCCTATATATATGAGTATTTTCACCAGAACCATTATTCCGTCTATGACACTACTCACAATAGCTTGAACTGATTCTCAGGTACAACGTGGACCCAGGAACTCGTGTGGTTATTGGGAAATAATTTTGATTACGAGACTGCACTGAAACTGCCACTTGCTAGGAGATTCCCTTTTATCGAGTAAGTTAGATAAAAAAAATAATAACCATCAACTAATCTAGTAAATACAAGATTCCAGATTTATATAACCCTCATTCAAAATGAATGAAAAAACTCATAATATTAAAAAAAAATCTTACTATAAAATCTTTAACTACTGCCACATAGATTCAATTAATTCAAATACAAATTTAAATTCAGTAACACTCAAAATACCTATAATTTATATTTTTGTAACTTTAAAAAATCATATTTTCAGAGTACCAATGTTCTTTCGTGGTCAAAAATTTAAGGAATTCGTGGAAAAACTAGATGATAGTGATCCAAGGAAGAGAAGTATTTTAGAAACACCCAACAGCAATTTTATCGATAAAATATTCAACGCACCTTCGCCTCGCTTCATCAAGTCTCACCTACCATTCTCTCTACTGCCGCCCACATTGCTGGACAATGCGAAAGTGGTGTACGTGGCCAGAGATCCAAGAGACGTTGCTGTCTCTTTTTATCACCATCATCAGTTTATGACTTTTAACGGTTATCAAGGCGATTTTAAGTCGTTTTGGAATTTATTCATCACAGATAGAAGTGAGATATTTTTTTCTGAACAAACATTATTATAATTCATTTATTTAATGTATTATTTCTATATACACTATTATATGTATTTATTTAGTGAAATTTATTATTATTATCGTATTTCAGTTGACTGGACGCCGTTTGGGCCCCATATAAAGGAAGCATGGGAAAAAAGACACCACCCCAATATGTTATTCTTGTTCTACGAGGAACTCTCTAAAGTTAGTTGTGTTATTATTATTAGTTTTAAATATTTACAGAAACTTCGAAATTCTACTACCACATAATAATTAGTGATATATAATTTTTATATTTTAATAATACTTTTGCAAAATTTTACCTTTTTTTAGGCTGTATAGGTTACCTATATAATAGTAGGAGTGAATGACAAAAGGCGGGTAAATATCTGAATTGAAACAGAGATTGTCACTTGCACAATTGTCGAAAGTCGCTAAATTGGAGAGGGAATATAAACGAATGAAATGTATAAAAACATTTTCAAATATTTTCTTTTTGTATACATCGTTATACTCGAATGCTGCGGCGCACTAGTTCTATTATACTTGCCACTTACTTTATCATATTTCTTCCGGCAAACAAAAAATCTTTGAGATAAATTGTTCATTTAGCATTGCACTAATGTTTTTTTTTTCTGTAGTACAGCAATGTTAGCGATGCTATGTTCGATAATCTCTACGATAGGAGATAAGTAACGTGAATACCTTAGTTATCATACTTAGCAATGGAACGTATTATATTTACATATATTTAGGAATGATAAATAACAACGCGTGTGGTTGCCACCTAGACGAAACACTATTATATTCTGTGTCCATGATGCGATTGTGAAATATCTTTGGGCGCTATGGATCAACTTATTTTTCATTTCCAGTGGCAGGACTACAAAAAAAAATATTTTTTCTATATAACTGGATAACGGGAATTTAATGAACTTACTAAGTTTGTCGTTTTCGACGACTGCGTTCTTTCGTTGCAGCGTTTCGCCTCGCACTGACTGACTGCTACTAATTTCCATTGTCTAGTTATATATAATTATAAAAAATTCAATATGTGTATATGTTATTTTGTTAGGATCTGCCAGCGGTGGTGCGTCGAGTGGCGCAGTTTCTCAACAAGCCGGTGACGGAGGATCAGGTAGCGCGCCTCTGTGAACACCTGCACATAGACAACTTCAGAAACAACAAGTCTGTTAACTTCGACGACTTAAAACAAACCGGATTCATGGATCGAGATGGACAATTTGTTAGAAAAGGTTTTTATTAACTATATATTACTAGATATATTAAAATTAATGTACCTTATCTTATCCATGCCCATAATGCATGGGCATGGAAGATAAGATACGAGTTCTTACATGGATACCAAATAAAATAAAAGAAAATACATGCGTACTTGGGAGTAAAATAGTTTAGATAAAAATAATAAAACAAGAGCAACGTACCAAATTATTTACAAATATAGTAAAGAATAGGAGAAATAGATGACGGATGACTATTTATTTATTGGTTTGTTTCATCGATATTTAGTTTAATTCAGTGTTACCTGTCAGGTAAGGCAGGCGGATGGCGCGAGTACTTCGACGAGGAGATGACGCAGCAGGCTGAGCGCTGGATGAAGGAGAACCTGGGAAATATACAGTTCCCTGATGTACAGAAACTATAACCAAAATGACGCGAAAGGTTTTCTTCGTGAAACAATTCAAATACATTATAATTTATAAAATAGCTAATGTAAATAATACTAAAATATATTTAAGATTCAATTATTTTGTCATTGTATTTATACTTATAAAATCGTTGGTTTGATTAATTATCAACACACCAAAATTACGAAGTCTAGTAAACCAAAATTAGGACCATAGGTCTTTTATAACATGACATATAAAGGATTTGTGAAAATTTCAACTTAAAGAGGAAACGCGACATCACGCATGCAAAGTCGCGTGCAACATATGTTATTTATTATACACAGTCTTTATAAGGCCATGAACTTCTGGACCGTTTTCGTTATACACAAAAGCCTCTCACGCGGCTTTACGTCCTTTACAGTAGGAAGCAAGGAACAAACAACCCAAATGTGAAAAATCTAAGGTTTGGGCCGAGATTCAATCTTGGGATACTCGGGGAGGATTGGTTGTCCGACTGACTATGATTGCTGTTATAGATTATTTTTATTATATTTTTTATGCAACTTAGAATGACAAACAAGCTGACGGCCCACCTGATGGAAACTGGTAACCGTCGCCTGAGCAATACCATGAACATAACAGAGTATACTGTTTCACCCATGATATTCCCCATGCGTTGCCATTCCTGAGGACTCAAGTGTTATTCCTTTATACCCTGTAAATTCACTGCCATGTCCCACCCTTCAAACCAAAACACAGCCATGCAAACACAACTGCTTTATGGTAGAAACACGAATAAGACAGAGACACCTCTATCAAGCAAAGGATTTTTGTACAAAGTTTCCCTTTGGTAACTATAGTCGTAGGTACTGAAATATCTAAAAATATGTAATAATTGATTTATTATTTACCGTTAAACACACAAATAATCTCTATATAAGTAATAACTGTTATTTTATTTATAAACATTTATATGTTTTTATGCAGCCATATATAACTCCCTATACATCTTAATAATCCAAGCTAATTATAAATAGTATAAATAAATAATAAATATAATATATCTACCTATTAATCGTACAGTTAACTCGTTCTGGTTTTGTAAACAATTTATGTATTATCATAAATAATATAATACTATACAGAGTAATTTTAAATACTTACGGTGCATTTGACTTGCAAAGGGTTCAAACAAAATAAATAATTGTCAACAACGTAAAATAATATTAATTCTTATCTACTTATTCATAGATTAGTGTATAAATAAGTAGATAAGTATAAAAGTCGATTGCTTGGGTACCTCTGTCCCATTCGTGTTTCAACCGTGAAGCAGTTGTGTTTGTATGGCTGTGTTTCGGTTTGAAGAGTGGCATATGGCAGTGAATTTACTGGGTACAGAGAAATAACACCTGAGTCCTCAGGAATGGCAGTGCATGGGGGGTATCATAAGCAAAACAGTATACTCTGTTATGTCCATGGTACTGCTCATGTCTATAGGCGACGGTTACCACTTTGCATCAGGTGGGCCGTAAGCTTGTTTACCATTCTAAGTTGTATAAAATATATATATATATATATATATATATATATATATATATATATATATATATATATATATATATATACAAAAATTATTTCTCACATTTAGTAAAAAACCCCGCCTGCGCTACAAATATTGAAATATTCAAAAGGAATTCAAGAGGTCGACCTGGTTGGGTATATTGCTAGCAATGGGTTTCTCAGTCTCCATTACTAACAATCCCTTTCCCCTCATTACTTAGTAGTAGGTTTGGTTACTTAAAACTAAATTCGACGTTGTTTGGTGCAAATCTATACTTTACGTACACATTTATCAATCTACATTCCACATACTTGACACTATTGAACCGATTTTGGTATTTTTTTTATGACTGCTAATCTACATTCGTTAATGTACATTTAAAATTTGGTAGCTAGTTACTTAACTTCACATGTTTGGGTAATTATGGAGTATAACAACCCCAAATATCTTCTGGTCGATCTCCACGCGGTTTCTCCTGGAAAAAGTCGTGGGTAAGTAAATGTGGTAAGTTAAGGATAGGCTAACTAACCTACTTTCATTTTCACAGGCCCAGCCAATATATACTTACCGATAGAGCAGGCAAGGCTACTGTTCCATTTTTACCCTGTTATATAAAAAAAAACTCTACCTGTTTTACTGCACAACTAGAATTTGCTTGTTTGAACCAGTTGCGAGAGACACATAAATAAAATTACAAAAAAAAAAAACATCCGGCTTTTATAATATAAAGTAAGAGGGTCTATGTCACAAACTCCATACTTATTACGTCGAGTTTTTAAATTGTATTGTGGTGATTGTTTTGTTGTATTTAACTCAAGATCATTACCGCTGTATCTACACAACTTATTTTATATTGCTTAACTACTTATTTAAACTGCCATACCTGTCATTAAACGTACGTTCGCAGTTGTGCGCGCGCCTTTTACTTGATCGCTCGTTGCGCGCGCGCAACTTTCACTGTTAATTGTATCGGGGCCACGCGATATTATAATTCAATATAAAAACAAAGAAGTGGAACAAAAATAAATAACCATGAGTAACAAAATAAATAACAACTTCCCATTGGAAATAGAGGATGTGCCGCCGAAACAAAGCGAACATCTTATGAAATATTTCACTGGTAAGTACGCAAATCGTATTTCATTAAATCAACATTTAATGATGAGAAAAGAAGCAAGTTTTTTTAGTGTCGTGATTGTGAACATCAAACGATCTGATAGCTCATCAGACTAAAAGTGGTAAATGTAAGTACTTGACTACAAATAAACAAACAATAACGACACCATGAACTTACAGAATATACTGCACGTATCTAACCCAAGCCACAGGGGGGAAAGGAATTGTTAGCAATGGAGTTTGACAGCCCCATTGCTAGCAATATGCCTTATTAGGTCGACCTCCACGTGGTTCCCCCTGGAAACCATCGTGAACAATTCTTGTTGAATTCGTCACGATGGGCTAACTGACCTACTTCATCCTCACCTATCATCCTTCACTGGTGCCCCGCCTGTGTATACCTACCGATAGCGCGGGTGGGATTACCATTCCATTATCATCCATTAAAAAAAAACCCAAACCACAGGAAGAAAGGATTGTTAGTAATGCGGACTATCAAATCCATTGCTAGCAAATGCCCTATCAAGTCGACCTCCACGTGATCCCCTCTGGTAACCATCGTGCTGAATCCCAGGTATATTCATCACGATGGGCTAACTGACCCGCCTATTCGTTCTCACCTATCACCCCTCACTGGTGCCCCGCGTATACCGTTAGCGCAGGCGGGGCTACCAATCCATTAAAAAAAACACAACCCACAGATAATATAATACTATACTAGTACTTAAACTACAGCTCAATTGTAGAAGCCTTCCTACAGATGTACCTACTCATAAATTCATTTGTTACCGCATCACAACAGAGATGTCATAAACAGATGTTTTTCTTAGTACAATATAAATTATCCATAAAACACTTTTGAAAATAATCTTGTCATGTAATTTTATTAAAATAAGCTAAATAAAAACAAAACAGACAATTTTTTTTTATTTCGCCTTTATTCTTTATTCATAAATTATGAACTAATTTCCTCATAAAGAAATACCAAGATTATTTAAATTTTTATGCGGAGAGGAAGTGTATGTTTTTAAATCATACAAAACAACTGTCGAAGAATAGCGCTCATAGATGTAAAGGTATAATGTACTCATGTAAGATAAACGGTGTTAGCATTGCCACAGATAAAGAAAAATACTAAGACATATAAATAAATAAGTAAATATATATACATTATCACTATTAAATAGCTTTAGTTTACTTGTTTGCAAATATTGATATAGCGTAGCGAGTTTTTTATAAGTAAGGCGAGGTGTATTAACAAAATGATGGATAATTTAATTTTAGAAAGATAAGTATTATTATAAGCCTACTAATAAAATGCGTGCTTATCACAATAAAAAAAAATGGAACCAATGTAAAGTAGATATCATAAAATATATAAGAACTGTACATTACTGCATTTCATTTTCATTACCCAAATATGATAATTGAAATAGCATCGCCTGGATGAATTAAGAAAAAATAAATCGAAAATAAAAAATATAGTAAGATGATAACATTCCATCTGTGTCCATTTCGTTTAATCGATTAAACAATTTAATCGTGATTGTGTTACAAACATCAAACCTTCTTTACAAAATTTTACACCTATAGATATACATTCATATAGGTAGTTGACGTACATATAGACTATATCATGAATAGCTACTAAGTCCTACATGACTCCTTTAAATCAGCAGTATTACACACCTATTACGTAAATGCAAAGAACAATAAAGCATTATATTGTCTTGTCAAGAAAAAGCTAAAACCAACTTATAAATTTAACTAAATTTTAATATTACTCAGAATATTAATCCATATCTATCATCGTCATCATAACAGCCATTAACCGTCTACTACCTCCACCTTCTTTCCTTTTTGGACCTCTTTTAGTCCCTTGGGGGTTTTGTCAATAGTTGCCACATTTGACAGGCGGGTTGTTAACCGCAGTTAAGCTTTTGGTGATGTTTTAGGAGGGACGTTGCTGCCCATCCCTTAACCCTTATATTCCCTTTGTCGCCCATTGCGACACCCACGGGAGAGAAAGGCGTGTCCCATTCTATGCGGAGACCACACGGCGAATCTATATCTATACTACATTATAAAAAGAAACTCCTGACTAACTGATTCATCAACACACAACCTAAGTTACTTAAGTTAGAATTACCAAATTTTGACAGAAGGTTTCTTTCATGACTTACACAAATAATAAGAAAGGGTTTTTCGAAATTCGGCTCCTAAGAGTATAAATATAAAGGTGGGAATTAAGTAAAGTAAGTCATTGATGTATACGGGGAAAGCCGCGGAAACAGCTAGAAACAGATAAGACAGGAAAGAAAGTGTAAATATAATAATGTTTTACATTAATACAAGAATATCTTGTATGACGATAGGCCTCAGAGCAGAGCTATGTGAATGCGTTACTCTCTTGAAAATAATCGAATTGCAAACTAATCTTTATGGAAAACATCAAGTGGAAGCCTATTCCATATAATTCGCGATATCTATTAATAAACTTTGGGGGGAAAGGGATTGTTAGTAATGGAGACTAAAAATCCCATTGCTAGCAATATACCCAACCAGGTCGACCTCCTCGCGGTTCCCCCTGGAAAATATCATGGGTAATTCCCGATGAATTCATCATGATGGACTAACTGGCCTGTTTTCATTCTTATCAATCACCCTTCACTGGTGCTCCGCTAGCGTATACCGTTAGCACGGGCAAGGTTAACATACCATTTTCATCCATAAAAAAAAAAATATTAATAAACTTTATTTAGCGATTTCGGAAACGAGAATATTCACAATTCGCTGTATTTTTAGTGCTTATGTTATGCAAATCTTCTTGACATCGATACAACTTACGGCAGTATATTAATTTTATACAGATTAAAGGCGTTATTTTATATTCTAAGCACAAATAGATAAAAAATTTCTAAGCAATGAGAGTAAAATAAGATTCGACTGTCAATTATCGTATTAATATCATAAAAGCATAAGTTTGTAACGACGGTTAGATTGATTGATGTTTTATACTCTTTCACACAACAACTAGTGAACGCATTTCAATGAAATTTGGTACACGGGTAGTTTATATCCTAACTTAGCACATAGAATACTTTATGGATTCACGCGAGCAAAGCCACTGAATATAGCTAATATATAATAAAATCTCGTGTGACTATCATGTTATCAATAGCAAACAGAGCCACCATACTGAGACGGATTATTATTATTACCTATCATCATCATCATCATCATTTCAGCCATTATTTGTCCATTGGTGAACATAGGCCGCCCCAAAAGATTACCTATAAGACACATAATTCATTTCATCAAATGATTTTCATTATTATCTTAACTACATAGGTATGTACTCATATGTTCTATAAAAGTAAAGACTTTTTATTATACTTACTTAATATTATTTCTATGATGATGATACTTAAGGTCAATAGAGATTTTTTACAATCCAAAACAAGTTTCAAAACCACATTTATATTTTTTTAAGTATTTATTGCATTATAAAAATAAAAAAACATTTCGATTGTAGGAAGTCTATGCCAAGGTCTGAACAATCAGGAAACCAATACACACAAATTTGATAACAACGCCTATTGTAAATAACTTATATATATAAGGTATAAATTTTTACTTCTAGTCAATTCACCACGGTAAATTATAATGGTGCAACTTGCAATTGCGATATTGCGAATGTGTAATGGAATGAAACTTTTATTGTCCGTAAATTACATTTTCGCTTCGTGATTGCTTTAATTTGTTAACAAATATTGATATAAACACATATGGAAACCAATACACACAAATTTGATTTCCAACAAAATCACTATTGTAAATAAAAATAAAGGCATCTAAATATTGGTACACTTGTAATAAACTTTGCATCATTCATCAATATGTCTGTATTTATTTATATTTTAAATAATAGCAAAACCGTTACTAGTCAATTCACCACGGTAAATTATAATGGTGCAACTTGCAATTGCGATATTGCGAATGTGTAATGGAATGAAACTTTTAATTATTCTAAGAATATTTGTATCTACCAAGCTCTACAATAAAAAAAATTGAAATTTTGTGGATTGAAGGTCGGCCTACGTATCCCCCTCATACTTTTATCTTAATCCCGTTATTATCAATGTAATTCACAAACGTGATAACAATTGTCAGTTTTATAGAAGAACTATAGTATATAGAATATCACTTAAAAAGATAAAAATAATAGTAGATAACAGAATTTCTCAATTTTACATCTACTCTCAGTTTTTTATTTCCAATTAATTTTCATAAAGATAAGAAGCGTTATATTTAATGTTTCTGAACGTACTGAAATATTCTTTATTGAGTGAAAAAAAAATCTACATTCTTTTAAATCTTAATTAACTCAGTAGTCCTATTATTCAGTGCAAATATAAAATTAAAACAAATTTTGTCCGCGGACAAAGGACTAGGCTAAGCTTTTAAATCTGACGCAACGAGAGACAGTTTTCGGCATGTACATACGTACATTTTAGTACTGTCAGGTCGGATCGTAATAAAATCCATATACTTCATCAGACCCATCTATATGACAGAATCTCCATCGTCTCCATAAGTCTCAAGTTTATTACCTATGTTATGTAATAAGAGACAATTTTAATCTAAAATTTCAAAAAGTGCTGATATTAAGGACAGCATAATTTTATTTTACAGGTGAACTGACTGGTTTTGTCCGTGTGGGGCCCAAAGGCTATTTCCTGCCCAATAAGTATAAACAAGAAGCGGCCAATATTTATAACATGCCAGTTAGAAGTGATGACATTTTCGTCGCCAGCTACCCACGATCAGGTCCGTAATTCCGGTACAATCACCTATTCTGTGTTCCGGATTTACTTATTACTTAGTTAAGTAAAATGAAGCATATTTCGTGATCGTGAACACAATAAGGCTACTTAGAACTTCGGTACTGAGTTCAAGCTTTAGCCAATAGTCAATCTAGTCTCTTAGCAACAAGTACCATACGAATATTTTTTTTTTTTGATAGATGAAGATATATTTTTTGATAGATAGAAAGGTAATCTCACCTGAGCTATTTATTGGTTTACACTGCCAAAATACCAATAAGGGATAAAAGATAAGAATGAAATCTGGTCAGTTTTTAATGAGTGTGAATGGAATGAAACCCCTCCTACACTATCATTATACTTTGGCGGGGTACCACTGAGAGATAATAGGTGAGGATGAAAGCAGGTCAGCTAACCCATCGTGACGAATTTCATAAGAATTAATCATGATGGTTTCCACAGGAAACCGTTTGGAGGTCAATCTGATCTGGTCAGTATATTACTAACTAACAAGTTCTTTTCAATGGACCTGCCATTGGTCGTTCGAACGTCATTTAACTTGACGAATACTATCTACGAAGTATCTAGTTAAAAATTGTTCACAACTGAATCTCGATTACCGTAACAGCCGATTAAGCTAAATAAACATACCCATACTTCTTGAATAGCGTAATACTAGATCGTATTTTTAAGCGATCCTCTTTTACAATTTCAGGTACCACGTGGACGCAAGAATTGGTATGGATGGTAGCAAAAGATTTAGACTATGCCGGATCTGACGCAGTACCTCTCACTGAACGATATCCATTTTTAGAGTAAGAAGTTACTAATAATTCACTCATTAACACACAGAATTTCTGTTATTTATTTTATCTTTATTAGGTCTCCAAGCAGTTGTTACACTAATACAATCAAATTATAAGACTAGGTAGTTAATGATTTCAAAGGATTATTTTGATTCTAGATCCAATAATTTCGGTGTCATTTGATTATTATTAATATACTGTATGTAATGTATATTATAATACAAATACAGGTTTTCAGTATTCGTCCATCCAATAATGAAAGAAAGATTCGCCGCAGAAAACAGTCACAGCAAGGAGAAGTTACGACTCTTGGAATTGGTCACACAGCCTGGTACTGAACAATTGACAAGTATCCTATCGCCTCGGTTTATCAAGACACACTTGCCAATGTCCCTGTTGCCACCTAAGTTGTTGGATGTAGCCCGAGTGGTTTATGTGGCTCGCGATCCCAGAGACGTCGCCGTGTCTTTCTATCATCTAAACAGACTTATAAGAACGCAAGGTTATATTGGAGATTTCAAAACATATTGGAACTTTTTTATTCAAGACCTTCGTAAGTTTACAAAATTAATTCATTTATATTCTATAGGTAGTCGCATAAATTACTTTTAGATATCTTATTATTTCAGATCACTGGACACCATATTTTGAACACCTGAAAGAAGCATGGAATAAGAGGCACCATCCTCGTCTGCTATTCTTATTTTATGAAGAATTGTCTAAGGTAAAGCTATATCTGTTAATCATTACTCAATCAATGAGAAATTGATTAAACTAATATAGATAATAATGATCTAATACAAAAAAAAATAGTAATAATAATAATAATATTCCATAGTTATTTATTATTATTATTGGACCCTATATATAACGTTTGCATCTTTACAGGATTTGCCAAAAGCCGTGCGCCGCGTTGCAGAGTTTCTGAACAAATCATTCACAGACGAACAAGTGAACCGTCTGTGCGAGCATCTTAGCATCGACAATTTTAAAAACAACAAATCCGTCAACTATGACGTCATGAGGGAACTGGGTATTCTCATACCTGGCGAGCAGGCTTTTATTCGTAAAGGTTAGATTATAGTATTATCGTCATGCTTGGTAGTATCCACATGTATCTTCACTAATACTATAAATAAGAAAGTGAGTTTGCTTGTTTGTTACTATTAGCGCCTTAACCATTTACTTAGATTTTTGGTAGAGGAACTGCAGCATATTTGGAATACTAGTTTGATTTTTGAGAATAAATTGAAAGAGGAACTTAACCATTATAACTTATAAAAATGATTTTTATATTTGTATACACGGACTGTATGGTTACAGATGAATAATCAATCTTTTTCAATAATCAGTCACAATAAACACTGATCAGCGTTACTCTTTGCAGTTCACAAATATACACACCGGTCATAACCACCATGCAACAAACATCATCCCACAATTCGCTCACACATACGAAATATACGTCTTCGTCAGTGTAAAAAGCTTCGGATCTGATGTATCTCTGTCAATGATTTTGCTATCTAATTTTTCTCTTTGTTTTGTTTTGTTTATCATTCTTTTTATATAAGAAGAACTCTGAGCGATGACTTTTTTATTACTACTGCATAAAATTTGGAATATTCCAAATTATGTTCACCGTTACTTCTAAAAATCCATAATAATGCCACACAATCACTTTTATGAGGGTTTGTTGTGAATGTTTCTAAAAAATAAAATGTAACAACTATAAAATTGTATGCACAAAATAAATTTATAAAATATTATACACAAAATAACTTAGACACTGTTCCGACAAGACTACAAGGTTTTACCAGTACCGAAAACTGAATACGGTCACTGCGTAAAAACAACCTTATTTTTGCCTTATATCATTTTACAGGAAAAGCGGGAGGTTGGCGCGATTATTTTGACGATGAAATGAGTCAACAGGCTGAAAACTGGATCGCGGATAATCTACGTGACACAGACTTTCGTTTCCCACATCTCTCATAATGTCGATTCTTAGATAACAAATTGCTCGAGATAAGAATATATGTATATAGTTGGTAATTAATATACATAGTTGTTGTAATGCATTTTTTTTCTTTAAACAAAAATAAATGATGTTTGTTTGTATAATTTGCGCTTCATATATGTATGTATATTAGTTAAGTTTGTATGCTAATAAATAAATAAATACGTGATAACTTTGCCACTTCTGAATCTATTTTAATAATTCTTTTTGCAATGTACATACGGTAATGCAATGTTCACTTTTTAAATGAAGCAAATTCTTGTATTATTATTTTACAGAATACAGATAAAATATTTACTATAAGTTGAATTAGAGATTATAAGATCTGTTTGATTCGAAGTATTTGACGTTCCATTGTTGCTGCCTATTCTAACAGGAGACAGGCGTGACAGATATGTATGCATCTATAATATGAATTAGTGTCTGGTTTAAAATATCTTAGTTCAGTAATTTATAAACTCAAAAGATCGCAATGGATGTTGAATGGAGTTTTCTTTTTGCCCACACCACAACAAATTTAATTTTCCGACTAGCTTAACGGTGATAGCCAATATAGTCAACAAATAATCCCCTTCTCAAAGAGTAGATTTGCTTGATTCAAACATATTTTGCATCGTTATATTTTTAAATATCTCCTAGATACAAACATTACATAGGAAATATTTAGAAAAAAATACATGAGAGAAAAGAGCAATAAAAGACAAAACGTTGCGGGTAGAAGCTAATATAAGCTAATCATGGATTACGCAACTGACCTATCTTCATTCTAATGTATCATTCTTAACTGGTGCCCCGCCAGCGTATGCCGTTAAGGCAGAGGGACCATTCCATTGTCATCATTAAAAAAATAAATCATGGGTTACGTGTACATAATGATAATACTCAATGTCCGTTATACCCACCAAGTGTTACATTTATAGTCATGAGAATATTATAATGTAAGTAACTACTAGTACTTAGTAGTAAAATATAATGTACTATTGTTTTAGAATTTTTATTATCTATTTACAGTTATGTCTTTTTAGAGTTCTGCAAGATAATATATGAGTTAAACTCTTGTAATTAGTTTACAATGACCAAGAATTACCTGCAATCCTTATGCAATACTATGGTAATGAGATGTGAACTGTTAGTAATCTTAGTTTTCTTTCCATTCCACTTGTGAAAAACGAATTCGTTATGTACCTGCCTGTAATTTTTCACGAACATTTATCTCGTTAAATTATATACTAGTTAATCCAATATTTATTGTTGCGATTAGTAGAATATCCGCATAAAAATGAACTCACTAGGGTCGACAGCCTCTGGTCATTGTACCGTTTATAGTTGCATATGACATCATTATTACCGACATCATTAGTACCGAGATAAAATTATAATAATTAAAATTTTTTACCAATTACACGCATAGTAAAATCACTATGGACAACTGTACAGTCGTAATTAAAGAAAAAACAAAAAAGGGTGATAATCATTTATTCCAATAAAATTGCTCTATTTTAGTATTTCTTTGTAACACCATGATATTTAAGTTTACATCGACATAATAAGTAAGCTATTATGAATTTAAGTAAACAATATTATTATTTTTAATTGTGTTTATAATCATTTCAACTACATTAATATTTTCATACCCTTTATAAATAAAACAATGTCTCAGTCCTTCTTCACGTTTTTTTTTATTTAAATAATACGGTTATACAAAGAAAATAAATTAAAAGCCAGATTTTTAAATCAATCATTCGTTGGTAATATAAAAATCTAAAACAGACTTATAATAATGGAGATAATAACCTTTTAATCGCGGCACACACCGGGCGACTGCATCGACGCCGCCGGCTAGTCAACATTACATAAAAACGATTGTAAGCAGTGATAAGTTTAAAAACGACCTGAACTCCGGCGACGCATCGCAGTCGCCGAGTCGCGCCGACAATATAACGGGCTGTGGCCCGCGCATAACGAACTGCAACGTACACTTCTATAAAAAGCGACTATATAGTATAAAATTGGGAGGAGTCTCCCGCACCTAACGACTCGCCGCTACGAGCGACGTTAAAACTATCATACACTTATAGAAAATCACAAAATTCAAAGCGGAAATAATAGGAATCGATCACGGGTGGCGCGTTCACGCGATCACGTCAGGCAACAGAGCGTTGTCGGCGGCGGGCGGGCTCGGCGGCGGCTTCGTCAGCTGCGGCTCTAGCGCGCCGTTCGTGAGTCCATTCGTCTGCGCGATCTCCTTCTTGGGTGACTCTGCTGCTTTCTTGGGCACAGCTTTCGCGGACGTGCTCTTTGTCGTTGCAGGCGCCTGTGGGCATTACAAATGGCAGATTAGAATACATTATTAAATGATATTCACAGAAAGGACAAAACTCGCTGTTATGTCTACGAGCTCGGTCTATGGAAGCCTGTAGCAGACATAACAGGGATTACAAAATACAATTAACCTATTCTTTTGACACAGAAAAGTATGGCGCTATACATCCATATCTATGGACCTACATTATCGTTTATTTTTATACACAAGTATGTGATAATCTTTATTTAATTTACTATAAATATTTATAACCAGAGTTTAGATCATATGCAAATGATAGAAAACCTTTATGTTATAGCACTAAATAGCATCATAGAAAAAAGTAGCATAAATCCCGCTAATATTTCTGTGTAACTTCTAAGCAAGTGATAAACAAATTTAACGATAGACACGATTTTGCAACTACTCTCGATGTTGAAAAAAATAGAATAAGACCAATGTCTGGATGCAGTTTATAATGCTGTATTCCTAAAAGTTGAATTTAAAATTTGATGTATAAATCTTTGCATATGAAGTCACAGACTAATAAGAAATAAAATATAAAGGATATAATGTTTACCTTAGTGGTGGCGGTCCTTGGCGGAGCGGCCTTGGCTGTGATGCGTTTGTTTGCGAGATCCTTTGTTTGCTTGTCCATTGGTTTTGTCGTCGCTCGTGGAGCCGGTTTTGGGGCAGCATTCCTATACAATGCATGTATATAGTTATATCTCATTCAAATTGGAGGATTTAGTTACCACAAAAAAATTACAAAATCTGTTTATTGTGGGTTAAAATGATACTGTGTGATATATTCAAGAGTTAATTTCCAGTATCAATCTTTTTAACATCCAGTGGGAAGTGCAACAGTGGTTGAATAAGTCTCTTTTCTTAATGAGAATCATCATCATATCAGCCCTTAATCATTCAATGCTGAATAAGCTGTAGCATAAGCTAGTGGTGTTAATATTACCATCCCTTAGACACAACATGCACCTATTCTATGCGAACCACACGTCCATTGATAAGAATAATGAGAATATTATTTATATTATACATAAAATGTTCCAATTTATTATAATATCTATACATTTACAATATTAGACATCGCTTTAGCGAATGAATCATGAAGAACTCACTTGGCAGGTACGGATGCGGGGGCAGTCGTGGCGGCGGGGGCGCGGGGCGTGGGGCGCGGGGCCGGGCGCGCAGTCGCCGGCCGCGTCGGAGCCCGTTGCGGAGGCTTCGTCTCCTTGGCATCGCCGTTAGTCAGCGGCTTCTTTTCCGGTGCTTTTGGCTTGGTCTCTTTTGGTTTGGCAGCAGCGGACGCGGCAGTCGAGCGAGCAGGTGCTGTCGCGGGGCGCGTAGGTGCGGCGGCGGATCGGGCGGGCGCGGCGGGGCGGGGCGCGGGGCGGGCGGCCGGGGCGGCGGCGGGGGCGGCGCGGGCCGCGGGGACACGCGCCGCCGCGGGCTTGGCAGCGGGAGCGGCGCGCGTCGCCGCCGCCGTCTTGGCCGTTACGGGCGCCTCGCGGGCGGCGGCCGGCGACTTGAGCGCCGTCGTGGTCGCCCTCGAGGCGGACACGCGAGCGGGCGCGGCAGTCGTTTTGGTCGCAGGCGTCGTCTTCGAGGCGGGCGTCGCCGGCTTCGAGGCCGGCGTCGCGGGCTTGGGAGCGGTCGGAGTTCGCGCCGTAGTCGCCGGCCGGGCGGTGGGCGTCGAAGTAGGCTTCTTCGGGGAGGCGGCGGTCGTCCTCGGACTCGCCGTCGGTTTCGAGGCGGGCTTCGTCGTGCGACTGTCGGGCTTCGCCGTCGGCGTAGTGGGAGACTTCTTCGTAGTTGGCGTTTTAGACTTGGCAGCGGCCACTACGGCGGCCGTCGCGGCGGCCGCCCCGGCTGCAGCGGCGGCGACGGTGGCGGGCGCGACGGATTCGGCCTGTTTCTCAGGAGCGATATCGGCGGCGATGTGTGTCTCGTTTAATGGTGAAACTTCGAGCGCTGCGGGCGGCTGCGGGGAGAGGGCCGCGGGCGCGGCGGCCGCGTCGGTGCCGCTGGCCGGCAGCACTGAGTCCTCGTGGTGGATCTCATTTGTGACGGGCACGCAGATCTCTTGCGCTCGCGACTCCGGTATTCCGATATCTATATCGGTGACGAGTTCGGCGTGCGATTGTTGAACGACATCGTCGCGTTCATCAGGTACTAAGTCGGGAGTCGGACCAGATGTCGTCTCCAAAATAGTGGACGTCTCCTCGGGCTGTGAAGGTTCATATGGTACCTCAGGCGTGAGCCTAACATCGACGGCAGGAGTATGGCGATCACCATCGAAATTCGAAGCGGGTTCGCCAGGAAGAGGAGACGCAGTCTGTGGTGATGCTGTCTCGGGTCGAAGCGTAGATTCAAGTGCGACACTCGTCGGCTCATGGTCGGCAAGCGAAGACACATCGGTCGGAACGAACTCCTCCCTCGGGATCGATGACTCGATGGGGAGGGAAGATTCAACCGGGAGGGGCGATTCAGCAGGCAGGGGTGAATCAGCTGGAAGAGGTGATTCCCTAGGTAATGGAACTTCTGCCGGCAATGGCGACTGATCGCGCAACTTTTCACTTGGTACAGGTGAATGGATCATCTCAGTTGGAGAATGAGAAGGCGCCGGTGATTTTGCGAGAGTTAATTCTGTCTCTGGTATTGGTGACTGCAGTGGTGCTGGTGACACTGCAGATGTTACGTTTGTTGTGTCTTCAGAAATGGGTACTGGGGAATCTATTGGTTCAGGTGATGATGGTTGAACAATAGGTTCAGTGGATACTGGGACAGGTGATAATGCAGGCACAGGTGACTGCGAAGGTATAGGGGACTCTGAGGGCAAGAGTGATTCACTTTGTACAGGAGATTTCACAGCGTGAAGTGATTCACTTGGATATGGTGAGTTGCTTAATAATGGTGACTGATTTAACAGTGGTGATTGGGCTGGTTCCAAAGTCTCTACAGGTATTGGAGACTGAGACGGAAGAGGCGACTGAGACGATTCAATAGGTAATGACTCTGAAGGAAATGATGACTCACATGGTACAGGCGATTGTGACGGTAAAGAAGGTTCTGTCGGCAAAGGAGTTTCAACACCACGACCTATGTCCTGATTTGTTTCCAATTTTATGTCTATTTCAGAAGTTATAGTATCATCAGTAATTGGAACTTCGCGAGTATCCACTTCATTTTTCGATTGACAAACATTATCACTTTCTAAATTAGATTCATATGTTTGATGAATGTCTACAATAGTACTTTCTTGTGTATCTTGAGTAAAATCTGGTGTGGTAGGTCCTTTGTTTTTATCTTCCTGTACTGGTGAAAAAGACATAGGTACATGTTCCACAACTTCATGGTTATCCAAGCTAAATACAGTTTCTGACACTATCTCATTTTCTTTATCATTTGTATGTTGAGTTGGTTCTGGCGAAACAACTTGGGATTTTTCCACAGAATAAACATCTCCAACATGCTCTTCTTTAAACCCAGATTGTGTGTCTAGATCTGGAGAATCATCTGGCTTGCTTTCCATATCAACATCTTGTGATATATCATCCTGTGGCGTGAACACTCGTGTATCCTTTTCACTTTCTGAAGGGTCTTGCAAGTCTTCATTTGTGAAACCCAATTCTGAACTTTTACCATCTGGTATTTCAGGAATTTGTTCAAATAATAGTTTGTGAGATTCGGGTGTATCTGTTTGCAATACTGTATCTTGGGGAACATTACCACAATCAAACTCCATATTAGAATAACTCTGTATATTATTTGTGCCATCTACATTGTTGTCTATAAAATTATCCACCCTCTCAAAGTTACTGACCAAATCATTTTCAGCAAGGTCTGGTCTACAATCAAACTTCATTATGTCATTATTAGGTTCCTGGACATCTCCATCTGTATGCTTTAAAGGTAAAACATTTTCTTTATCATGTTCAATAAGATTCTCATAAACTCCATTTGACTGGATATCCTCATCATCACTGTCAGGCAGAGGCTGCACTGCATTTAGATCAACATGAGATGTATTTTTATTCAGTCTTTCACATGTATCATCATCTTTTTCTTGATAAAAGCTCATACTCATCGGGTCTCTCTCCTTATTTTTCAACCTCTCAAGAAGTTCATTATTATCATCATTTGCAAAGGGATTTGTTTCACTTTGTGTTTGGAATACCTGAAAAAAAAAGGAAAACTTGCTTTAACTTAAAACAATCTTCTAATTTTCGTTTGTTTATTTTCAAGTAAACATGTGACAAATTGTACATATGGCAGACATAACACCATAAGGTGTTTTCTCTCAAGCAACGATGAGTAGTGTTGATAATGGTATAGAAAAAGCTATTATTATAATAATTACATAATCTCTTATAATAATAAATTATAATCTCATACTTGACTCCTTGAAAAGCAGGGCTGACAGACAAATATTTTTATAATACATAATGTTCTCTTCATTGTAATAATAATTTAATAATTATTGTCATATTACTTTTCTTCTAAGAGTTTGTAATTACTATAATGAGCGGATCCTTCCCTTGGACATGTTCAGTTAAGTAGATTTTCAGAGAACATGTCTAAGGTTTAAGAAACAGATCCTAACTTATATAAAAAACACGCGATAGGAACTTTGCAGAAATTCCACATAATTAGAAATGAAAAAAAATTTTTAAAATGTTATTGTTATATTTTTTTGTTATGTTAGGTACTTTTTTTTTATGAAAAAGTAAAAAAAAAAAAGAAAAAAGAAATCATCTGCTCGTGTTTATTTAATACATATTAAACTTACATAAGTTAATTGTGAAAACTACTGATATGTGTTACTGTTATATTTTATTATTTATGTGTGCTTTAGAAATAGTACCCTAATAAAGTTAAATAAATAAATTGACTATCTCTAGTCCCAATCAGGTCTCCCAACATTTTTTTACCTGGATATTCTATCCTGAATTGTTTCTGGCTTCTGATAGAAATCTCAGGATAAAATTCATAACATTCTAATAATATATAAAATAAACATATTTTAAATTATTAATGAACAAAGTAAAATATATATGAAAATAAAAAGAAAATATATATTTGAAGGTATTGATTTTTTTAATGGCAGACATCCCATGCAATACTTAAGTTAGTAATAATATAAAGTAGTAACTACCATATATAGACATGAACTTAATTATTTTGATGAAACGAAACAAATTTGCTTTAAAAAACATGTAAATAAATGTATATACATGAATATCTATAAATTGAACAAAAATAAAGTCGAATCTTGATCTTGAATGTGTTTATTAATTTTGTACAAGAACGTCACAATCGAAAGTGTCAGATAAAAACATTATTTTTCTTTTTTTGTATAAAGGGTCAGCAAAGAGTTCATATAACAATTATTAATTAAACATTCCGCCACCCAAGGACTACTATAGTCCTTCACAATATAATAACATGTAACACAAAGTGAGATGATAGAAATCAAATTACTACATAACTGTTAGAAAAAATTAACAAATTTTAGTTATTCAGTGGCAGAGGGCACAACTTAGCTACAAGTCTTAAAGAAATTGTTAGCTTAACATTAGAATATATTTAGACCATTTGTACTGGACACTAGAGAGTATGATATATTTGCTACAGTTCGTTGTTTAAAACATGATATACATTTATTTACAGTAATTGTAACAAGATCTTTTAAACGAATAATCCAGTACCTCTGTCTGACGTAATTTAAGGTAAGTTGCAAGTCACCATGCAAAGATTTAATATGTGCATCAGAAACAATTAGTTTACATAAATGACATTTATTACTTAAAATAATAGGAGACTTTAGATAGTTCGAAACCTCTGCATTAACTAGTCTGCCCCTACTAATAGTATCTTTTGTTCATCAAGATACGGATTAAGTGTATATAAAACTTACTTCTTTTGTGAATTTGCTTGTTGTGAGTTAAAGTTTCAATCTCATCTTTAAAATAGCTTGTGATCAACGAGTACATACAAGCAAAACAATTTTTATTTCAGAAGCAGTTAAATAACAATTACAATCCCTTCTAATTGAATTAATTTTGTTTTTACAGCATTGAATAAATGGTTTAAATATTTGTTTATGTAGTCAGTAATATCATTATTTTCAGTGATACAAATGTGAACTTTAACTTTTGTTTTAACTTCTAAGTCTGTTTCAGGAATATCTATATCATTATTTACAATATCATCGGGTTGACTTAGAAAATCAGGGCCGTTCTACCATAGTTTTGACTGTCTCAAATCATTCGGATTTAAACCTCGTAAGCTTAAATTTGCTGGATTATTAAAAGTATCAATATAACGACATTGACTACTATTTGCGATAGTTAAAATTTCTGCTGTTCGATTAGCAACAAATGTTGTCCAAGTACCAGGTGTTTTACGTAACCACGTTAAAACTATAGTAGAATCAGTCCAAGTGAACACACAATTATTTTGTATTCTCAAAACAGTTTTAAGGCTGCTCAACATCTTGGCTAGTATAAATAGCACCACAAGTCGTGGCAATGTAACTTGTTTTACTGAAGCTACACGTGTTTTCGCGAAAACTAAATGAACATTAACATCTTTGGCATTCCAAACTCTGATGTAGACAACAGCAACATAAGCAGCACAAGATGCATCGTTGAAGCCATGTAATTCTAATCTAGTAGTAGTATTTGAAATGCTGAGCCATCTTGGAAAGGGTATTGTATGATTTGCATGTGAGAAAATTTATTTAGGTAAGTGAATCATTCAGTTTTTACTTCTAGTGATAGCTCCTCGTCCCAATCTAATGCAGCTAGCCATAATTTCTGCATGAATATTTTAAGAACAATAATAGAAGGTGCTAAACAATCAAGAGGATCAAAGAACTTAGTTATCACAGAAAGAACAGTTCGTTTAGTGACATTGTGAGATATAAATTCTAAACTTAATGTAAGTTCAAAGTTGTCAGTTTGTGAATTCCATGTAATACCTAAAGCTTTAATAGTGTCTTCTACTTTAATAGTGACTGTACTTAAAGAATCTCTTTTGTCGTTCGAAATTTGATTCAATACTAGTTTACTATTAGACGACCATTTGTGCAAAGGAAAGCCACCTCGAGCTAATAACTCAGTTAACCGATTTTGAAGAAATATTGCATTTTCCTCTGTTGACGTACCTGTTAACAAATCGTCCATGTAGAAGTCTTCCTTTACAATTTCAAATTCTTTAGAAAACTCACCACATTCATCTTCAGCAAGTTGGTGCAATGTATGGATGGCTAAAAAAGCACAAGACGTACCATAGGTTACGGTAAGTAATCTGTACTCTTGAACATTGAGAGATTCACGCCATACGATTCTTTGAAAATGTTTATCCTTTTTAGATACAAGTATCTGTCGATGTATCGACTTCTGTATATCTACAACTAAACATATTTTGTGTTGTCTCCATATTGTAATGAAGTATCGAATATCTTGAAGAAGAGGAAGACCGATTAACAATTCATCGTTTATTGATTTTCTATTTGCAGGTTCAGCACTACCATCGAAGACTACGTGCAACTTTGTACTCAAGCTCGATGGCCTAAGGACAGCATGCTGAGGTAAGTAGTATATATTTTTATTATTAGTATTAAGTTCATTTTCAGGAATCATCTCCATATGTTCGTGTGACAGGTATTCATCCATAAAGTTACTATATTGACTTCTAAATTCAGGTTTGTGTAAAAATCTCTCATCCATCTGTTGCAGATCATTAATAGCCAAGGTTTGTGAATCACCAAGACTTGTGGAAAGAAACTCTTTAAATGGCAAGCAATCTATGTATCGACCATCATCGTTACGTGCGTAAGTATCATTATAGTGTTTCTCACATTGTACTTCTGATGTAGACATAGGCTTTTTGTGAGGAACGTGCTCTTCGATCTCCCAAAACTGCCTAAGTAACTGATTCACCTCCAATTTAGTATGAGCTACAGTCACATTGTGTACTTGTGTATCAGTTTGTGAAACGCTTCCAGACAGCAACCAACCCAGGCGAGAGTTAAGAGCAACGAGAGTGTTGTGTTTATGTATTCCATCGAGAATTATGTGAGCATGCACGTCGGCACCCAATAAAACATCTATAGGACTCGGCTTGTGAAAATCAGGATCAGCTAGATCTAATTGCATTGATGAAGGCCAAGTACCTTGTGGAAATTCTCGAGATGGTAGTATTGAAGTCAGTTTTCTAAGTACATAAGCGTTAACTTCAATACGTGAAAGTGATGGGTTTTTACAATGAATTGTGAGTGTTACCATAGAGTTAGTAGTAACTTCTTGTGAGTTGGATATTCCAGTGACTTTACCAATTACAGGTGTGCGATCAAGATTCAACAGTTGTACAGCTGCTTCAGTAACAAAAGAAGCCTGAGAGCCCTGGTCTACAAGTGCCCTGAGAACGTAAGTAGAGCCATTGTTTGCCTTTACTTTAATTTGAGCAGTAGGTAAAATAATTTGTTTATTATTTGTTTCAGGTTTCGTGTTAGCAGTATGACAAGACGTAGAGGGACTCTGTACTGACTCATTTCTCTCAGTTGTAATCTCTGGTTTGTTAAGAGTTGTTAAATGCAGCAAAGTGTGATGACGTCGTCCGCATTTCTTACAGGTTGTGCTTTGCCGACATTGTTTCACAGAATGACCCTTAATCAAACAGTTGAAGCAGATGTTGTTCGTTTTTATAAAATGTTGACGTTCTGATACGGTAAGTGTAGTAAATTTCTTACAATGACAAATGTAATGGTTCTGTGAACAATATGTGCAAGTACTATTTACTTCAGTAACGTAAGTTTTGACAGATGTAAATTTTTGTGGTGTGTATATCTTCTTTGACAATTCTTTAACTTGAGTTGAACTAATCATTTCTAGTATTCTGAATCTATTCTCCAAGAAAGAAGCTAAATCGGCATAAGTAGGAATCTCAGTAGAATTACCAAGAGACTGCTCCCAAAGTTTATGTGATTCGGAGTCTAACTTTCCGACAATGACATATACTAAAATAGCATCCCAGTTAGAAATACATATGTTGAGATTTTTCAACGAGTCAAGACATTGACTAGTAGTGTCTAATAATTCTTTGAGACCTTTAGTTGATTCGCCAGCTAACTTCTTTTGACTTAATAAGCGATTCAGTATGTTGTTGACAATAATCCTCTTGTTGTCGTATCTTTCTTCCAGCTTTTTCCATGCATCGAGATAATTAGCTTCGGTAAGTGTAAAATTCTTTAATAATTCTGCTGCTACCCCAGTTAAACTAGATTTAAGATAATGATGCTTTTCAATTTTAGATAAACTGTTATTGTTATGTATTAATGAAATATATAAATCTCGGTAGCTAATCCAATCATTATAATCACCAGAAAATACTGGAAGGGGTATCGGAGGAAGATGTGGTCTCGAGTGTGAAGATGATGCGATGGTGATGGTGTTATTATCATCAGTTTGAATTGATTTTGTTTCATGTTCATATAACCAATCTTTTATCCAGGTCTTGAGATCTAAGTAAGCCTCTTCAGTAGAGTTATAATTTTCCTCTAGATCGAGATTACATGATTTAAAATTCGACTCTGAATATGTAGTTGTAATATACTCATATTGTTTATTATATGATGACCAGTACTCACATAACATCTCTAAACGTGCATCCAAATATCCTCTTGTAATCTTAGCTCGAACGCACTTCTTCGTGTTAGTTAGTAATTTCACAATTTTATTTGAATTGTCCAACAACATTGTAATACGTGAACTAATATTTTCTGTCATTGTGATATGCAAACAACAAAGTCCGATATATATATGTGAAAAAAGTATTGTACACTGAAGTTGTGAATATTTATGCGTTTAGTACTGCACTATATTTATTTACTAAATTATGCGGCTATCGAAGGACCAAATGAACAAAAATAAAGTCGAATCTTGATCTTGAATGTGTTTATTAATTTTGTACAAGAACGTCACAATCGAAAGTGTCAGATAAAAACATTATTTTTCTTTTTTTGTATAAAGGGTCAGCAAAGAGTTCATATAACAATTATTAATTAAACAATAAATAAACATAACTACTAACCTGTACATTGCAGAAGTCAGTAGTGTCCTTCTGTATTCTTTCGAAATCTTGTATTAAATCTGTATCGGTGACCTTATCAGGCTCCTTGCCTACACTGAATCCAAAGCCCAAACTGTCCATGTTGCATTTATCATTGCCATTGAAATTTTCTATACCAGTTTCATTTATTGACACATTCTGTAAATAAAGTTATAAATATTATTTATTACATTGTTAATTACAATACAAACATCTAAAAGATTCAAGATTCCGCAGTTACCTACCTAACCTACTAAATTCGGGGGGGGAATGGGATTGTTAGCGATAGGGTCCAACAGCCCCAATGCTAGCAATGTTACTAATCAGGTCGACCTCCACGTGGTTCCCCCTGGAAACCATCGTGGTTAATTCTCGTGGAATTCTTCACGATGGGCTAACTGACCTGCTTTCATCCTCATCCATCATCTATCACTGATGCCTCGCCAGCATATACCGATAGCGCAGGCGGGGTCACTATTGCATTATCACCCATTAAAAAAATCTTGATTAAGAAATAAGTTATCAAAAGCAAAAATAACTTATAAAAAGTAGTCCTTCCCGAGATAGTATAGATGGTGAGCACTATAGTGTTCAAAGGATATCATGAAATCCAAACAAGAAAGATAACTGTAAAAGGAAAACCACTGGCTATGTCCAAATAATAAAAATAAATAAATGAACAATTATAGAAATTTTTATCTTAATACTAGCTAACACAGCAAATATTCTTTTACCTCATACTGCCACCTACCGGGTCAATAGATTGGAGCAATAAATGCACATTTACTAAAATTAACATGAAAGAACCTTGTGACATGGTATATTTATATATTCTAAGATTACAAAAAATACTCACATGATGGCCATTAAGTTGATCACAGTTATCCAAGTCTAATAGTTCTGCAGGTCTCACAACTGCTTCAGTCTCAAACTGTGCGACATCCGGCAACTCAATATCATCCATGGGCACCGGCTTGCGTGGAGACTCCGCTAGCAGCACATCTCCACCCGCCACCGAGCCAGGGATAAAGACCGGAGCATCTGGGTTCAGCGGGGAGCTATTCATATCTACTGAGCTGGTTTCCCAAGCGGACTGCAATCATAATAGATGAACTTAAGTTAAAATAATACACTTTTTACCATACAATGATTTTTACATTATAATAAAATTAAATCAGAGTTGTTCATAAGTGTACATTAAATATTATATTGTGAAAGATGACAGAAAGTGAGTTTAAGAAGTTTTTCTGTTTATCTATTTGCATGTTAAGATTACATGTAAAAAGGGCTAGACTGATTATGATGAAATTAATACATCAAACTATAAGCCAAACACAAGACTATAGAAAGTATAAAAATTTGCACACAGTATAAAGTACTTTTATATGTTTCAAATTACTTTATATTGTATTAATAAAATATATGAAATATTCCATAAAAAAAAAACTTTTAGGTTATATTCACCTCCTTAAAATATAGATATAATAATTAGAAAATAAATCTTATATTATTTAGATACATTTAATTTGTGTACAACATCCACTTATTGTTTTCCATGTAGGTACCTACAGCACTAGAAACTGTTGTTTGTTTTTGTGGATTAACTGTCACAAATTACCTCATTATTATAATTACAAAATACTTCAGTAAATCAAACAAAATTACAGCATTTGGATATGGATTATAATAATAAAAACCGCTTAATATAAGTTAATCCAACTGCATTTATCAGAAATTAATAACCTTTGACAATAATAATATATCTACCCAAAAAATTATTATTTTTAGTGACTTATAAATTATATTAACAAAGATGGCATATTCAAAGTAGCTATACCTAATGTTAACATCGTTGTTCAGAATCGGGGCCATTATTTTACATAGTATATAGGAATAACTTTTCTATATTTTGTATTTATAACCCCAAAATGTAAATAGTACCTAATCAGAACGAAATTTTGTATTATATAAAAAAAAAACATTAGAATGTAAAGAAAGTACTTTTAGTTAGATTTAAATACAAACAGGCTTTCTTAAGTAGGTATTAAATATCTAACATTTCCATACACAACACTTGCAACACAATGAATCATACTATTCACAAATGAAGGTCAGCTGAATAATAGTGTTCTGTGTAAGCATTTTTAGAACTGCAAGAACAATCCATATAGTCTGCTACATGATAATCATAACATTGAGACACTTACATTATCTTGGCAGGGTGTTTCTGAGCGCGGCGGCTCGTCCGGTTCTTCGCTAGGATTCTGCTCCTCGCGATCACCTTCGCCTTTGTAGTAGTTCCACTCGTCTTCTGACTCTTCGCCGCTCTCAGCTACATTATCCACCAGTGCGCCGTCGACGTGGCCCTCCTCCACTGTACACCACAAATATTTACACTACAATTATAGCACGAAACAATGTAACTGAACACCTGGCTGTTACGCAGCTTTACCCCTCGCAATCCAATGTATCAACAGGTGACACACCCTTGTACGACAACTCACTGGTTCGATTAACGAACAAAATACATTGATACCCTATTATTCATCAAAGTAATATAAATTTAAACAATGTCTAGTGAGAAATTAGTGACGTTATTTACCGGTCGCAAATTCAAACTCGCGGGACATTTGCGGACGCCATTTCGAGAACGGCCTATGAAGACACGCCCGAAATGAAATTAAGGGAGAAACCAGAAGTGGAGTTTCACGGCATTGTCAGTGGATATTGCGGGAATCACGTCAACGAAGGGATGAGCTTTCGGGCGAACCGATCTATTTCCAGAACACCACTCCGCATGAATCAACACAGAAATAACCTTTCACAAACTATGAGGAATGTGAAATTAATCAACAACATTCGCTAAAACTCACATACCGTAAACGGTAATTTCACTGCACAGATTACTATCTTCACCACTGGCGTAATATTCGAGCCGTAAAAATGTAGACAAAAGGCCGGGTTACAATAGCAGAGCGATTGAATAGAGCAGCACAGATCCGACGAGCGTTCAATGAGCGACTGCGAGTGGGACGGGTCGGGACGGGAGGTGAGGGCGCGAACCAACTGCGAGGCGGGGAGACACGGCGCGAACTCACATAGGGATACCATAAACTTTCCAAATAATCCTTATTGATATATTTTTTTTTGTATACTACTTTCGTAAAGACTGAAATCGGTTTTTATCTGTGAAACGAATAAACAAATGACTTATTAATTGAATTAATTTCTATCTATTATATATAAAATTGTTTAAGACTTTCATATTTAGACAAACAGCGAGTAAAATAATAATAAAAAAAACAAACTAAATAACTGTATATAATATTGTTGATAAGATTTCCTATATTTATGGGTATTGTAAATATATTATATTATGGCAACACCATTCGCAGCTGGTCCGGAGCAGTCACCACCCCACACACAAGTCAAATCTCACACACACGCCACTCCAGAGATACCTACCGATTGGTACATATCTGATGATCTGATCATCATATGCAATAATCTGCATACAATCCTAGTTAATTATTGTACCAGTTACCACCTAGATAGCTGTCGCGCGCCATGTGTATGAGTGAATGTAACAATCAATAATGCGTGACGTGATTATACTGCACAATTCTTGCTTTTTCTTTTGCTCTCATTGAAATGTAGTACACTTTAATGCCAATACGCGTGTACCGTTTAGAATAAAATCTCATATCAATCAAGATTATTATATCTCTTGCATATTAACTTCCTACTAACGATTAAGGGTAGGTAATGTATACCTACCTATACCATCATTTAAATTACAAGTCCAAATGACAAATTTCGGGGGAAAGGGATTGTTAGTAATGGAGACTGAGAATCCCATTGCTAGCAATATACCCAACCAGGTCGACCTCGCGATTCCCCCTGGAAACTATCATGGTTAATTCCTGATGAATTCATCATGATGGACTAATTGGCCTGTTTTCATTCTCATCTATCACCCTTCACTGGTGCTACGCCAGCGTATCCCGTTAGCGCAGGCGGGGCTACCACACCATTTTCACCCACCAAAAAAAAAAAACAAATTTATCCTGAACTAATTTATACGTTTTTTTTTTTTTTTTTTTATTAAAAAGAGTAACTCGCAGTATATACATACATAACCCATGGCTACTAATTTTGTTACAATATTTGCTTTGTGTAAAATAATATTTGAATAGACAACTCCATATTTATGACAATATTTCAAGATGAAAAACCGATCGATCGTGCAATAAATTTTTAAAATTAAAATTAATTATTATGAGTAAATAGTAAACTGAATGTTTATACGTAAGTACAAGACTTTTTTGTCTTCTTTAAATTCGGTCAAATACAACGATATATACCTACTGGCGCAATCGCTGATCAATACCATTAGTTTTAAATACTGATAATATTAAACTATTAAGTTAATTACTTATGATAACTTTTTAATATCTATAAATATTTACTTCTTCAAATTGACGTCTAATTATTGTAGACTTCCAATTTTACTTTAAAATAAAACTTAACTACTTAGTAGAATATTGCTCTACAAAAAGTAGCTACTTCAGTGGTGACAAAATTATTATGAAATCAATACGAAAATAACCTCTATCGATTTAAAAATGATTATCAAAACCAGTTCTGGATTCAAATATAGAAACCTGCAATAATATCAGACAACATTGACAATAGGTTTCCCTACTCGAGAAGAGCTCGACATCGCTTAAAAAGGCAATCCAAGTGAAGACAGAATCAGGATTATTTTCTATTTTAATCACGGATTAATGTCTATTTATAGCTACGTTTACAAACAGAGTAGAGTATTCTCATCTGTTCTGTATAGATAAAAGTAATGTTTCAATAATATTCTTTCGATATTCGATAATGTATATGTTCACCAGAGATATAGTTTACCACTGACCTGCGTGTGCGGGCGGTGTCGGCGGTGCCGGCTCGTGGTTCCTGTCGGCGTCGATGTCGTCCACGTCGACCGCCGTCTCCGGGCCGAGGTCCTCGCTGTCACTGTCCGAGTTGTCGTTGTCCACGCTCTCGGCGGCGCTCGACTCCAACTGCCTCTTGCACGCCTCCGCCTCCATGGCGAACGGAGGCGGGTTCGCCAGTGCGTTGTCCAGCCTGCACATATTTTCATTTATGTAATAACATTCTAACATTGATAGACAACGTACAGCCTAGACAATTATATACTAGAAGCATGCTATCAAACTTCAAGAACTGGATCTTCGGAAAGCAATTTCAGTCGAGACAAAGCGACCTAGATATTCTACTGTCACTCTTTTCAAACAACATATTATTTTGTTCATACACTATCTTTAGCTATCGTTCCTCACTGGCACCCCGCAAATATAAATCGATAGCTTCGGTGAGATTACCATGTATTTTCATCACACAATAATAAGATTTGTGTTCTACAAAATAAAACCGAATTCAATTGAGCCAAAATCAGTAATTTTTATTACAAAATTAAACTACCGTACCGGTTTTGATAAAATTTCTAAGGGACCAATCTGTAAAACTATCCTTTTTGATAAAATTTTTTCCAAATCAGTTTATAACTAACGGAATTATGAGGGTACCAAACATGAATACAACTGATTTGAGAATCTCCTTCTTTTTAAAATCGCTTGGAAAAAATATATAAACAAACTATTAAAAAAAAATTAAATTATGAATAACATAATTAGTATTCGATTCCCGATCGACCCTAGGAATTTGCGTTATGCCACAAATATTTGTGGACTCTGTTCTTAATAACATGCTGTATCCCGAATTGATGTGATTATGTGACACTTATTATCATTATTATGGCATGAATAAGCCTTTCCTTATCGTCTAATGTATAGGATATGACAGCCGCCAAGGTCGAGTGTAATAGGCTGAACAAGGCAATTTAGTATTCACGGCGATTTTGTTGATTACAATATAGAGAGAACCGGTTGTAGATTCTTCTCTCAAACTAGAGTGGAACCCAAATTATGAGTCATAAGCAAAGGCTGTCTACTCGTACCATTTGTACATAACAAATGTGTTTTGTAATACCTATTAATTTAAATCGTAGAACAGAAATACTATTATACGATTTCGTTTCAGCGTACTAAAGTTATTTATGGTTATTAAGTATATTATTATATTACATTACACTAAGATCGATACCAAAGTCATTAACAATTGTCCATTGTCAAACATAGGCCACTCTTATAGAACTCCACATTATGTATATATAATAAATAGGATATTATAATAAACAAATTTATGATTCTCAGATTCAGACATGGCTTACTTCGTTGGAAGTAACTCAGCACCTATTCGAATATCGACCAACCTAAAAATATTTGCATACTTGCTGGTATATTTTATACGAGTTTTTTTTTTATACAACTTAGAATGGCAAACAAGCTGACGGCCCACCTCATGGAAAGTGGTAACCGTCGCCTATAGACATGAACAGTACCATGGATATAACAGAGTATACTATTACGCCCATGATACCCCCATGCGTTGCCATTCCTGAGGACTCAGATGTTATACCTCTGTACCCTGTAAATTCACGCCATATCCCACCCTTCAAACCGAAACACTTTACAGTAGAAACACGAATGGGGCAGAGGTACCCCAGCAATCGACTTTTTTAAAAAGTCTCCCTCTGGTAAAAGTCAGTATGTAACAAACTAATTATATAGTCATAGTTAACATTCAATAGACAAAATTTTAATTTATATTTAGAATGTTGATTTTTTAAAAAGTACAAATAACATTTCCATACTGATTTCAACGAATACCATCGATAGGTTTGACATAACCAACTATGTTCGGTTGTAATTGCGGTATTCTAAGCTCTTTTTCCACTTATTCATATCACTATACGAATATGTGTAAAAACATCAACTGTAATTTCATGAGATGATGACGATGTGCCACGGTATACCATAATGTAATGCAATATATTCCTGCTTAACTTGCAGATAACCTGTCTAAGGAGACAGAGAGGTGATATGTGTGATGAATCACCACCCAAGATATTACGTATTAACCCATAAGATGAGTCATTTAGATTCATCACCCGGCCTTATATCCAACCGCCATTTATGTAACCTTCTTAATAATAATAAGACTTGAGCCTAACTTTACCTTTTCCCAACCCATTGCGGATCGTACGGTCTATCTTATTATTTATGCTAATGAGCATAGAAACAAAATACTATCGTATACTCTGTATCATTTTTATAACACTTTAAACTATTTATTTAATAGAAATTGTCGTCTAAGTTGTCCTCACGTAATGAATTCTATCAAGACCATGGTTCTGTTTACATCAAAGAAGAAAATTACCCCTTTCCATTAGTACTCCACTATTTTCATTGCTCTTACTGAGGAGTAAGACGTCGTTTATTATTTATACCGCTGAGATAGAAAAACAAGCACACAGCCCACCTGATGGTAAGCGATCATGTCTCATTAGATAAATAAATTGTTCATTGATACGTAGCTAATAATTGCACTACTGTATCTACCGCAACGCAGACGTACAAATAGAGCAGCTTAGAACTGAGGTGTTCAAGCTGATGACTTTGTACAATAGATTAAAATAAAATTTTCTAATAAATAATATAACTCAAATTTCTAAGAATTTTACAGTTTTATTACTGCTGAGTAAGTAAAATATATGTTTGTGTGTGTATAAATTGCAACGATATATCCATCCACCACACCACAATCGCCGAATAAACACAACGATCACGTAATACCGATAAAACACTCATGTTTTACAATCAGTCATAAATATTATTTATATACATTTACAAATTTACGCAATTTAATTCCTATTAAAGTATTAATGTTTACCTGTTTTGACAATACATTGCTGGAAGACATTTTCCTGATGATTTAAATGTACGATATTGACTACTGAACGCAACAAAATACAATATAGTTTACACAGCAGACAATAAAGAACTTATAGAGGTTTTTGAAACAAACTCCAAACTATACCCAATTTCTAATTCCATTACAAGATTACAAAACATAAAAGATATATTACATCTCTATACATCGAATATTAAATTAACCAAATTTTGAATGATTATAATAATTACTGATGAACGAACAAAACTCAGTCAGCGAAAGACTTTTCAAAAGAATCTATCTACTCTATGGCCACAGTGAATACCATGTTCTAATTAATTCTCACGACCTCGAAGTGTTCTCGCCTTGTATTATTACATCAGTATAAAAACATTGATCGTCTTGTTATAATCTTCGCTGATGTTATTAATTTTGTTGTTACAGAACATTCAGTGTTAGATGTATTATATTAACATAGTAATTAAGCTATAACCTGTTTACCACTATATAAGTGGAAAACATCCATTTCAATAAACATAAGAAAATTAAAAAAAAAAAGAGAATAATTGACCAGATCATAAGACAGTTTTAATTAATTATTTCAGCCGGTAACTGTCCACTGCTGAACATAAGCCTTCCCCATAAAGGGAGTTTTGACAGTAGTTGCCACGCTTGGCAGGCGAGTTGGCAACCGCAGTCAGGCTTTGACAGATGTTTTAAGAGAGACGCTGCTGCCCATCTCTCCATTATAAGCTCTCTTAGTCGTCTCTTACGACACTCACGGAAAAGGAAGGGGTGGCATATAATGGCTTTCTCGTTTTTGTTACAATTTGAAAAAAATATTTTCATTAAGTTCTATGGAAATAGACTGTAGGACCCAGTGAATAGGTATATTTATATATTATTTATTTAAACTTTAATGCACAGTAAAATTCTATGTACATTTGGCAGACTTAACACCAGACGGTGTTCTCTACTAGTGAACCATTCGGCAAACCGAGAAATAAGAAGACAATGCATAATTGAATAAAGGAAAAAAAAGCAATACTTGATATGTTCATATATTATAGACAATTTCTTACTATTATATATTATTACTACAATTTATTTATTATTATATATATAATAAATATAATATTATAAATAGAATTTATTTATTATATTATAACTACAATTTCTGTGCTATCATTATATATTTATATGACACATATACTACTAATTTACTAATTTATATTATATATTTATTTATATAATTTATTAATTTACTAATAAGGAATCACCTAAGTATTCGGTAGTATAGGGAATATTACAAGCATTAGTTTAGAAACAAAAGTAGTTTCGTAGGTTCGAAGATAAATATACTCACCCAAGCTCCATGGGCGGGCAGTTGTCGGCGGCGATGTCACGCGGGTCCTTCAGGAACACCACGATTATTGAAATATTATCGGCGGAACCCTGCCGCTTAGCCTGCACGATCAGACGCCGCGTAACCGCCTTCAAGTCATCTACGTAACAAACAAATACCAACTGTTTAATAGAAATGAAAACATCGTTTCACATCGTCGCCTATAATTATTTCCAGCAGATAGCCCAAGACACCCAACAATTTCTCAACGCTATTATTATTATCCTTAAAATATCAGTGTGTCATCTAGCACAAAGGTGGAGTGTTGCGAAGTCTATTATGTGTGCAATTTGTTGCAGCACAATGGTGAACAGTGTCGACGGATATGGAGTAACGATGTTTGTGTTTCGATTTGCTACAACGACAGGCTGTATGCGAGGATGTCCTTGTAGTGTCTCAGACTCATCGGTAACCATTTGAATGAGTCAGCACTCAGCGCACCGCTATTGTGCTCCGTATACCGTATACGTAACTTGAGTATAATAAAAATAACTTCATGTACGTGTTGCTAAATAAATATGCAATTTAAGTGACCTTCAGACAACCTAAATTCGCTATACTTTCCCTCGACGACATTTATGGATTAATTTATAGGGGTTAAATTTACACGAGACTAATTGTAGCCGCTGACATACTAAGGGGAGCGCCAAACGTGTTACAATTCCAACCAACAGCTAATCGAAAATATTTGACTGTCGCGTGAATATATCACCTTATTTGACACGATGAATTAACCCATAAATAAGGTGGTTAGCGCTTTCGTTTCGTGTCAGGTTGGCACGCCTTGTTTGGGTGTGACTATACTCAATTATATTACGGGTTAGTCTAGGTAATGTCTGAAAAAGTACTGATGTTATGGGCATGTGTATATCAATATTATGACAGCAGCGCCTACCTCGTCCGACAGAGTAACGAGCCGGCGCCCGGCACTCTGATCTATAGCGTACACGCCTTGACTTTACTCGCTATTTCGGGGCGCAGTCGGACGGCGCGTCGCGTGTCGCCGCCCTTGCTTTTTACCCTGTTTGGTCTGGCTCACAGCCAATAGAGCACCGTATGCTCTTATTCGATGATCTCAATTTTTATTTTATTTTATTTATGATTGTAACAAGAATAGTAAAGATAGCTTTAAACGAAACTAATATTTTCAAGTTAATGCTAGCCGAAAGTAGTACTATATTAGTACTGTAGTTAAAATTAACTTAAATCTCCTTTTCAGACTTAGTTTACTAAAATTAATAACCTTTTGTCAGGAAAAACGAATAAATAAATTTGTGTCCATTTAGAAATTTGATTTTTTATATAGGCATATTACTTTTACAGTTAACACAAAGTAAACGTTAACGATACATAATGATCATTTAATAATGATCATTATGTATCGTTAACGTTTACGTTTGACGATGACATGATCAAGAAGTGCGATTTTTTACGAATTAATTATTTTATTAATTACGAACTATTAGTGAATTAAAATATATACTTTTTTATAGTACGTACGTTGAAGCAAACGTGGATATTTTAACTCTTAGCTGCAAGATAACTATCTTCTTCTTCCAACCCTTAAACCCAGCACAATTTGGGGTCAAGTCTTTATGTAGAACAAGAGAACTAACTGTATTGGGTAAAATTTTTAGAGTCCAAATCAGCAAATACATAAATGTAACTGATATTTCCTCAGAAAACTTTTCGTATTTCGATTATATTGACTTAACCACCGTAAACTTGATTATTAACATATTTATTTTTATATTACAAATTATCCATACTAAGTTCAATAAAATAAAATTGGATAAAAACTTCATTGATAACACACACACACTTAAAATATTTAGAAAGCGCTACACATTATTTCGAGAATAAATAAGAGAGAAACGGATTATCGTGTCGCAGATCTTAACGATCAACGTTAATTAGACATAGTTGTTGAGAACTCCACCGAGATTTTCAAATATAGTTTACAACATGTATTACAACATTTAAAATTAAGCGAACGACTGGTAGTTGTTATGGTTATTACTTATTATAATTAGTTAAATATATGTTAATTACATTAAGTCCCGTTTATACCTCTTATTTTCACGTTGTTATAAATATGAATTCAATTACTGTGTTAATAATATAATCTTAAACATTTACTAAAAAAAAACTAAAACCTCTTACAGACCTTGTTTATCTATAGAAGGGGTGTGCCACTGTCTTTTAAATTAAGAATTAAGTGCAAAAAAGACAAAACACTTCAATAACTAAAATAGGTTTATGAGAAATTTGACGTTTTTATGAATAAAGCGCTTACTAATATTTTAAATGTGAAATTGTCGATTTTAAACGTAGTAACGTTTACTAAGTCAATGATTTCAAACTTAGAATTATTAGCATAACAACTAAAGTTACGAGCACAATCAGAAAAAATAAAAAGTTCCAATCTTCTACCTAAATTTTTAAAATTTTGTGAATAATAAGCTAGAACAACATGAAATATATAAAAATTGAACCAGACTGACATGAAACGTGATAGAATAAATTATTTTACTAATGGATACACAGTAAAATACAATTGCCGTTTTATGATTCTTTGGAGACTGGATATGATCATGATCAGACTCATTGTAATTTCACATGATTGCAGCGCAACATCTCATCTTGGCCAAGCGGCCGCGTGCGACCATTCAGCGGGCAGCGCGGCGGCGGCCGTCGGGTGATCATCGCTACGATTATTGCCGCCGGCTAACGGTGCGCATGGAATGCGCCGTCGGCCATTGTTCCCGGCTGCCCGCTGCAAAAACGGATCACGGTCTGTCCGCGCATACTAAACCTCGATGGCCCCGATGCACCTGCTGTCTTTGATAACAACAAACGTAGCCCTGTCGTGAGTTCATACCTTAGATACCTAGTTAGGTGGTGAAACAGTTACCCATAAAGACAAACAACATTGCCTGACTCATAACTGCTGATTGTAATGAAATTAATTTCTAAATTGGATATTCCATATATTATATCAAACATCTTTAAGTGTCTACAGGTTGTGGCTTATTACTTAAAATAAAATCCTCGCATATTAAAAAAACGGTGCCTGAGTGATGTAAGTATACATCACTCATGCACCGTATTTTTTTGCACTCTTACAAATAGAAGTAGATGTATATCTTACACATCAGGAGCTTTTTCTGTAAGTACTGGGTAATATCGCTTTAAATTTGGCAAGTGTAAGAATACACACTGTGGAAAAATGAGAGAACACTCCGAACGTTTTAGATTAGATTTACTGTTAGTCAGTTGCATAATAAATATGCAACTAAAGGTTTAAACTAAAGTTTAGTATGAAACTAGGTACCTATGTTCTTGGTATCTATGTCCATTATACAGTAGACACGAGATTACAGTGGGAAATGGAATCAGAGAGCAGACTACATAATACAGCGACGGATCAAGTGCAATTTCCCGGGCCGCACGTCCGCTCTAAATCGCTCAGAGATCAACACCATTCGTTCAAATTACAATAATTGCATGTTCGCCTGCCTTTCGTAGGCTTTAATAAAAATAACTAGATAAACATAACAGATATAAGTGCTTTCAAATATTCAGTGCGAACAATTTGATAATAATTACGCTAACTAAAATTTAAATGTAATGTATCGAATGAATTAGTTACAGCAAATAATTTGGTTTGGAATAAAAGCTGATAAATAAAATTGATACCGTTTTGAGTTACCTAATGTTTATTAGTTACATACAAAATTTTCTATTTTTGCTAATTAAAAAGAAGTAGAGAGCACATTTATGTCCAAAATTATAAAATTTTCAAACTAATGCCAGTAATTAATGTTCAATTTGCTATAATTTAACTTTAAATTTCATGAATCAAGTATTATATATTTTTAGATATAATATGTTAGGCTCCAATATTAACAACAATGAAACATTTAAAATGTTTTCTGAAGTTCCTAATGGTATTTCCAATTGTTATAAATAACAAAATGTGAAGAAAAATAGAATAGTAAGTGTACAAGGAATCATGCGAATCATAGACTTATTAAAATTTGCATACATTGTATTACAAGAATAAAATCGTAAAATTTTGGTTGTGCAGTCACAAATAACATTATCTAAATTATAATATCTATACTATTATTACATTTGGAAGGCTTACGTCTGCTAGTTTCTGAAATGTAGCCCCCCTCTTTACTTCCACTGTGCAAACGGTTTATGGTTGCTTTCACACAAAAGAGAATAATATTAAATTTCAGTTTCCAGTACGTACATCTAGCTTGTTTGATACTTTACAAAATTTTAATACTTATACTCGAATTATTTATTTATTTATTTATTTTAATGCATTATATAAAATACATACTATATAAATACATAATATAAAATTGTTACAAAGTTCTTATGAAGAGATACATGAACGCTGTTTGAGTACAGCAAAATTTAATCGATAGATAGCTAATATAGATGCAATAATGTTAATTTAGATTATATTTAATTACATTTACAAATATCGTTTTTACACAAAGTTGTCATTAGGTTTATGCAAACTGTAATTAAACTTGCGAAACTGTGCCTATCATAATCTGTGCACATATTATTACAAATCTAAATTACATTTACTGAATATATATTACTTAATAATCTCAGTAAACGATTAAGTAAAATAACTCAATTAATAAATGGCAATTAACTAATGTTGTATCTATTTGATATCCAATACATTCCTGCCCTTGTCCTATGTACTATATAACATATTTTTCTCTTCCATGCTTTTCTTAGGTCATCTCAATATTCACGATGGTCAAAAAGACACGCCCATAAAGGTTGTATTTATGGGGACTAGCTGCCTCATTATCAACAATATATCATGTCTGGGCAACCTCAGCGAGGTCCCCTCTGCAAACCATAGTGATCAATTCCTAGCAAATTTGTCGTGATGGGCCAACTTCATCTATCAACATTCACTTGTACCATGGCAAAAATATCAATAGCGCAGAAAAGGATACCTTTTATCTAATGAATACAAACAATGACCATGTAATTTTTACACAGTCCCGTTCATTTCATTTCAGGTTTCTCTCTTCATATATTTAAATTTATAATTTAAAA